GTGAGAATAAGGAAGCAGGACAGGAAATATTTTAGACAACGGTATTTTTTTATTACACATATTCTGATGGATGTTGGAATAATCATAACAGAATAAGTAATCTATTCTATTAAGCATTCTTATACTGTTTCAGGAAGTTAAAGACGGCAGTCGAAACCATCGCCTGGAGGTAATTTTGCACAGCAAATTAATAGTGACTAACATCGTCATCAAACCACAAAACACTGTACAAAATAGTGTAACTACTGTACAAAATAGTGTAACTACTGTACACTAATATCCCATGAATGTAGACTAAGGATGCGGTGGTACAGATGTACCTCCTCCCCCAACCTCAGCCAATCGGAATTTGTTGCGATCGGATTCTACGGTAATTGAGAGTATATAGTAGCACCTAATCGCAATGTGATATCGATCACTTATCTCTTCTATTCGTGACCTTTCACACATGATTACTGTATGAATTGCAATTGGGTGCGTTTGGTGTCACAATTGCTACAACCGATCGCAATGCGATGCTAATCGGAATAGGGTGCCCTATATGACCTACATTATTAGAAAGGGATGCCCTATATGACCTACATTATTAGCGCCTTGAGCACTACTGCAATGGATTTGTGCGCTTTATAAATCTTATTATTATTATTTATTATTATTATTATCAACCTTGGTCACTGAATCCATAATGGGAAAACAATAATAAATGCCACATTCCCAGATCCCTGCAAAGTAGAGTATACCTAGGCCAGTCGTGCTACCATAACATTATGCTCTATTTAATGCCAACACAACCTAAAATATATTTGTAACTTCTGGGTGGAGAGAGAACCACGTAAACGAAATGCACATTCCAAGGGGTTCAATCAAACCCCTGACCTTCTTTTTGAAAGACTGAACCAAAGTGCAAACTACAGTATTCACACTGTGCAGGGAAGGAAATTCAGGTTGCTGTGGAATCAAACCAGCTGCCTCTGTCGTAATTTTATGACACGCTGCCAACAGAGTTAAACTATCCTTGTTGGCACTGGTTGTTCCCAGTGCAGTACTTCCTTTGCTTAAAAGCCTGGATATAGCATCATCAAACCTCATCAAAATTATCACTGTAGGCTAAGGTACTGTACTAACATGTCACTGCCTGAAAAAAAAAAACTGAAGCTGGGGCATATATCAGCAAAAGAAGATAAACTTTATAGAAGTTACAACCCAAATACAGTGAGGGTCTATACAAATAAAATTGAAATGGTATTGTTTATGAGTCTATTATTAATAATCGGTGGTAAATATTTTTGTTGCTTTAAAAGTTCAATATTTAACGAAGATTTTATGCAATTAAAGTTTACTATTCAGGTTTGCTCAACACAGCAATACAGAGCGATATCCTTATCAATCAGGATATCCATATGCCGGAAGAGCTACTGTATAGACCTACTGTACTGTTTACAGATAAAAAAGATTACAGTATTGCCTGCTAGATATCTACATTTAAAATGTTATGAGAAGAGTATTAACCACATAATGTATTATGCGTAAGGCAATGTAGGCCTCTATAAGCCTACTGTGGTACAATTACAAAAAAAGTTTATGTATTGTCTGCTAAATATCCACGTTTAAAATGTTATGATTAGAGTATAAACCACATAATGATAATGCATAACACAATGTAGGCCTACAGTAGGCCTACTGTGGTATATAAAAACAAAAGATTATTGTCTGCTAGTTCTTCTGTACATTAAAATGTTATGGGAATTGAGTAATTCCCACATAATGTACTATGCGTAATGCATAATAGACCTACAGTACTACTGTAATAGATAAAAATAGATTATCGTCTGTTAAATCTTCTAATATATCCACATTTAAAATGTTATGATGTAAAGAGCACTACCACATAATGGACTTGCATAAGGCAATGTGATTTCCCTTGATGGATGGAGTACATTAGATATTCGCACACTTTGACCTTGCTTGACCTCTGATGATGTATAATTTAGTGATTATTACTTCATATGATTCATGAACAGCTATTGTTGTACGTACTATACATAGATTATTTTCAGGTACTTTTTCTTTCATTTGTGTAATTAGGTGACTTAATGAGAGCATATCTCATAATTAATAAAAGAAAAACTATTTTTATTTTAATATAAATCCTGTATGGGTAGGCCTATACAATTTTGGAATATATTTCATACAAGCGCTTGCTCTTACCTTGTGAACCAAGTGTTAATTAGCATCTCGAAGAGATTTGATTGACAGATAAACCGACTAATCAGCGAGCGTCATTTATTCACGTGATCAAAAACTTTTTCTGACATTTTAATTTCCTTAGACAGCTGGTTTAAACATGAAACATACGTGAGCCTAGGCCTAGATGTCTATGCTTGGTTATAGATACCCAGATTGCGCATCAGTGTCTTGGCCTTTGCCGACAACATGGTTGACTGAATGCGGCTTTTCCCTCTTCCTTTGGGTGCGAAATACAGAGGCTTTTACAACAATTTCCCCGCCATGTTCCATGAAATAGATTAACAAGTCTATGAATATATTCATTGCATACCGCCTACCCTGAATTCTCTTTCTTAAAGAAGGTTGATAGCAAAGAAAATCTTCGCCAACTCGGTAAGTCTAGCCGCCATTGTCTAAGGTTTTCGTGACTTTGTGGGCGGGGCTTCACGTCCTTGTCAACATGTCAATACCTGAACATAAAGTGTGAATTTGTTTTACCTTGCTATACGCCATTAACAATAACTTCAAATAAAAATAAGTTCTATTTTTGGACTTTTATATGCATAAGGGCACCCTCTGCTACATTTCTACCTCAAAAACTTTCATTTTTATTAAATTTATCAATAAAAAAAATTATTTTTTCTCCTCTGCCTAGATTCTTTTGGCAGAACTGTTTTGGAAGATGCAAACAATTTCTTTTTTCATCTCCTCTGATGACTGGTTTCAAAAATATAGTTTACTTCAAACATTGATAATAAGTATAAATAAGTTTTTGTCTGGTAGTGAATTTTGCAACAATATGCTTGAATACTGTACTTTATGAGTACTGAATATATGACATTCTTAAAATGATGACAGCCTATTGCAGAACTCATTTTACACAGGCATGACAAATGCAGTAAGACGACTTGTTTTTCCAGTATACAAGTGCCAAAAATCATGTCACTTTATTTAACCATTAAACCACATTTGATAACCTTCCTGGAAAATGTTTAATCATTGATCCTGTTTATCTAATGTATTATATATGCTCTATTTCCGCATTACAGTAGTTATCGTCATAAATAATTTAATATATTCACCCAGAAGATTTACTACATATTAGGCTTAATAAATAATGACCTATAAAATCTATCACAAATTGGATTTTGTTTAGCTGTATTGGAGTACACAAAAATCCAACACTCAGTATAGGTAGAATATTTTATAAATTTTAAATTGGTCACAAAATGTATGGCAAAATTCAAGAGAATAACTTAGATCCATGTAATTATACTGTACTACTGATGTATGTACTGTATTGTATTTATTATGTTCACTACTACTGTACTGTCATTGACATTATTATGTGGCCTAAGTTTATGTTTTATTTTCAGAAAATACTTTGCATTTATCAGTAAATTATACTGTGCAATAATGACAATTAATTATGTTAATGTTGTGCAGATGAGCAATGAAATTGACTTAGGACCAACAGCCTACAGTAAATACTAACTAAATGACAAGTTATTTTAGAAAAATGAATTCTTATATAAACCAAGAAAAATGGACACATGATGGTCTATATTTAGTGCAACCTTTGACCCTGGGTTTGGAAAGTAAGCATCATGCTACATTATTGTAAAAGCAATTTCAAACAAAATACATTGTCATCTCAAAGGCCGGGCACACACTGTGCCGACAATCATCAACCGACGCAGTTCCATAAAGAACGCAAAATGACACCAATTCGCTCAGACTGCTATCAACTTTGTAATCAGCATACTGAGTCACGCCCTCAAGTGCTCACAGAGAGCAGAAATGGATTCGTCGGCCAATGACCATACAGTACAACAAAGTATGCGCCCAGCTAGCTTTAAAGGTTTATGATGTGATGTCATCACGACCATATTTAGGCATATCACATGTTTTTGTCAAATAAAATTTGATAGCTTTAAGCTTTGTCTACACTATCAAATTTGATGTGACAACAAAATGTGATGTGCCCATATATGGGTATGATGACATCATATCACATACTATCAAATTGTATCAAAAAAAGTTGAATGTGTTCAACTCTTAAGCTCTATCCATACTATCAAATTTTCTTTGACAAAAAAATGTGACAAGCCCATATATAGTAATGCTATGCCTATATATGGTCATGGTGTGATGTCATCATGCCCATATATGGGCATATCACACTTTTTTGTCACACAAAATTTGATAGTGTAGACACAGCTTTATGTTCCATCACATTTTATGTGATGCTTTTTTGAGGAAATTTGATAGTGTACAGGGGTGGCGCCAAGATTTGCCCACTGAGATGGGGGGGGGATGCCCCGATGAGGGGTCATATTTCCCTGACGAAAGTAAAGTGGGCGTGGTCGAGCTTCGATTAAAAGGTTTCGAAAGTGGTCCTGGGGGGAGGATTGAAAATTTTGACAACTTAGGGGTTTCAAAGGCTTATTTAATCGATTTTAGAGTCTACTATGTGTAGAAAATACAGAATTTTTTTTTCTCCTCGACGAATTGCGCTTTTTCTCCCCGACAGGAGGGGGAGCCCTGCCACCCCCCCGCTGGTGCCACCCCTGATAGTGTAGACAAAATGCATGCAACAACTTAATTAACTTTTAAGATCTTATAATTGGTCAGATTTAACAGTGAGTAAATGTTTCCTTCAGTATAATGCCAGTTACAGCTTGAAAATTCTCTCATTCCAATATGTAGGCCTATAGTATTGATTTTTTAACTGAGAGTGAGATATAAATTATTAATATTTTCAATCAACTTACTTTTTCCATGTACCGCTTTTAAAAGCTTCTCCAAATGTACCGGGATCAGACCTCGTCGGTGACATAGGACCGTGGACCGGGTTCATCTCGATGGTGTTGTGATCAGTCGCCAACTGGTATCCCTGCCGCCCATACCTACCGGCCATGATCCCTTATCACTGACGGCTTCTCCCACCTACACAGCAAAAAAAAGTTTAATTAGAAAAGTGGTTTCTTTTTATATCTAGCATATTTTTCCAGTTTAACAAACTTTGGTTATATAAATTGACTTCTAAATTATTGAACATACCATATTTCATTTTAATATCATCTTTAGTAGTTTTAATGTCATTTAACAATATTTTAATCATATATTACCTTTTTCTATTATTGATCAATTAATTTTTTTTCTGCATGAAAACATTGCTTTTTGTATCAAAAGAATAAAGGTTGTTATTGCCACCACATTAAATGAAATTTTGAGCAAAATATATATAAATTAACATTAAAATCATTAATTTTTTTTTTACTAAACTAACTGCATATTAGAGTATAAAAACATCACAATTACTATGAAACTGAATAAATTAAAACAAGTTATAATTTGTGCAGTACAGTATATACACTTTACAGTTATAACAAGCCTAGAATGGATGTAAATCCATTGAACACTACTGTAGGCTTGTTAAAAATGTGAAATATACTGTACTGTACTTTAATTCTCATTGTTCAGAGTGTACAGATTTGACACATCTGACAAACATTTCCACTTCTTCCTTCCCTGGCCCCATACGCAAATATCTTGAGGGCGCATATACACTTGACAGATCTACAGTACAAGGTCTCCCACTCATATAGAAATCTCATCTTCCAACTGTAAAAACTATGTCTCAACTAAACCCATTCTCATTAGATTATGGTCAAAAAAGTCTTCTGTGCATGCGAGAATGTTACGTTCTTCTTGTCGCGTGGATTTGGCCAAATCAACGTATGCAGAGAACATAGGACGCACGGTAGGGTGGTCGTGCATAAATGATTCTGTTCTAGCATTGTCATTGAACAAATCGAAGGCTCCCTATTTACATTGTGATGCAGTTTAAATGACAGCTATAGTTCAGTGGTAATATTAATGAAGATAATAAAAACATAAAATATAATCATAATTACTTTTCATATTTCTTTCATATTTAAAATAATTTTTGCAAATTTTTAATTATTTTATTCAAGTTTTCCATTTTTTTTTTAATTATTTTAAATTTTAATTATTTTTTGTTCTCTACCAAAACCAAGTACCCTTTATATTAAAGGGTATATCAAATATTTATTTCTAAATGTTATTAAATCCAATTTGATTTTCCAAATATCACTTATTTTTGTAATTTCTTGAATATTTATTACAATTTTTTTTCTACTTTTTAAACCAATTTAACCATTTAAATAATTTGAAATTTCTAATGGCTGAAGGGATGAATGGATTCTCAACCTGTTTGTTCTGATTCTAGGGTATACTGCTCTTCCTGACTTGCTAAAAGAAATGTGATACATCCTAATACATTTAAGATTATTGAAATTGTGCATAATGTACAGTATAATACCGCGATACGAAACTTCTTGGTACACAATGGCTTTTGTGCAAGAAAACAAGCACAGACTCATCATCATAGTCCATGATTCCACAGCACTTGTAATTTCCCGACCATTTTTCCGATAAATTTATCTTAAAATTCCCTCCAAATTTTTTATCCCATCATGCAAAAATTATGGACAACACTGCAATGTGTTCAACATCAAAACATTTGTTTTGTTGACCCAGCAGTTGACTCAGTTTTTGCACGAGATAGATAGGCCTAGGCCAAGAACAAAATTGTTCGGTACTATTCACACTGGGAAATGTACAGTCACAATGGTGTTTGACTTTACTGCACTTTATATATAAAGGGATTGAAAAGAAGACGAAAGAGAATGCTAGACTTGTTCAAGCAAATGTGCTTTATGGTACAGTACATTAACGATTGTATTATCAAGTGTTTAAAATACTACCCACAATAATTCTTTTCATGACAATGATTTGACATCGGTTAAAGTTTATTTATTTTTGCATTCAGGGAATTTCCAATAACTTATCTGATTCTCATACGAAAATTTATTGGATAATTTAGGAACCGTTTCCGCAGCGAAAAATTACAAAATGGCCACTTTCTGATAATTTATCAGATAATGAGTGTTGCGGAAACACAGCCTTAACTTACTCCTATTTGTACCAATGATTTACTGTACCTTAGAATTACATGTAGAGTATGATTCTACATCATTTTGTCAATATATTATCAAGGTTACCATCTAGTGCAAGGAAACCGATAAAATATTACAAGCCTATGATAGCCTTTATTAGGCTTTTGTTTTCTGTTGTACCTGTTAATTCCTTATGGGAGTTACTGTCATCCAATATTACTTTACATTATTATTTTGTTATTATCATAATAATAGACCAAGGATATGCCAATAGAAAACTTCATCACTTTAGCAACAATTCGTTTCACAAGACAAATCTACACATACTCTATGAACAGGTATAGTTACTGTACGAGACATAATATATATTATATTGTTTTAAATCAAAACCTGTACTTTCGTACTTTGGCGAATATAAAAAAAATAAAATGCACCTACACATATAATTTACCAAAAATGGTTCCATCCATTAAAAAACAGTACAGTAATTGACAGCATTGATCCGCACAAAAGAAAACTGACAACGACGTGAAGTCTTTTATGGACATTCATGCAATTAATTTACCAGTAGGCGGATGTTATAGCTTATAACATACAGTAAATGCAAATATAATACGGCATTTATCTACGAGATAGTCTACCATTTTCATGCAAATGCACTCAAACCCGGTTTAAAGGATTTTCTTGATGACCACCTCCACGACATTCGATCTAGACTACTGCACATAATCGCACACGTAATCGCAATGATCACTTAATGAATTACTGATTTGAAAATTAATTGTTAAAGACAGCCCACTTCTTGAACACAATTTTCAAAACATAGTTCTGTAATACCCGCTTCAATTTTTATACAAATATTCTCTGAACTTATTCCAAGTTGAAGGCTATTAAATTGGCCAATTAAAGACTTTACTCAAGACATCTTTTTTTTATTATTTCTTTTTTCGAACGGCATCACATGCACCAAATGTTGGAAATAAATGAAACGATTGATTGAATGGTTAAAGTATCATGGTCTTATTCTAAGCATTACTGTATATAGGTCCATGCCTATAAAACTATAGAATTGAATTATAAAACATATAAAGGGAAGTTTGTTCTTTATTGAAATAGTGGGAAACACATAAAAATATTAAAACTCCACTAGCCTTGCTCGGTAAACATAGACAGTAGTCACTCTATTACACAACTGAAATAAAAAACATAAAAATATTACTGTACCTACCAATAGCCTAAACATTTAGTCACTGTCAACACGTACAGCAACTTGAAAAATACAAATATGCACAGAGTAAATGTTATCCTAATTCATAACTAAACAAATTTATTTAAAATGTCCAGAACAAGTCATACAGCAGGTAAGAGGGAAGACTTAATTGTGTAGGTAACTCATGAAAAAAACTTACGGTAACTTGATGGGCAGAAAATACTGAGTAATATAAATAGTCAACGAGGAGATATCAGCTATAGACCTTTGAAACCGATTGTAATTACTGTACTGCAAAATGGCTATGCTATCACATAGGGCTCACAATGAGTCATTCTAACAAATTGCTTAGAAATCAGTAATCTAAAAATAGACATAAACACAAAATTTTAGGTCATGGAATAATAGACTGAAAAGCTATGTAAGTCCAGAGGTTTCCCACATTGTAACATTTGTTATTAATAGACATGTGGTATGTTAATTTCCTACTGTAATTCCTGTTAAAACATACCAAATTTATATATGGCCATAGTAAATAGATTAATATCAAATCTTATTACTTTACAGTAATTCTTCTTCTATAAACCATTACACTAATAATATCATAGTTGATAGATTTTTAATGTACAGTAGCACCGATTACAATTCTCAAAATGTCTTAAAATATGAAAATAGATGACCACAACATTTACAAATTTCTGTAATTAATAGTGTTATACATAGGCCAAGAATTTGATTTTGATAATAAATAGGTTCATTGCAAATTGCATAGAAAATAAGTTAAAAAATATTCTGGAATTAATTTAGCTATTGAACTAAACATTTTAAAAAAAAGATTTTAATTTCTGAAAGACTCCTATGACTTATAAAGGACTCTTGGGAGCAGTGTAGAATAATTTATAGATATCATATTAAAAAATATTAAGGCTTTTCTTTTCATATACTCAGTACTCTCTATGTAGGCCTACATGCTGAGTTAGTACCGTAGGCTACTGTATCACTTTTTACCAGACCTTTCCCTTACAAAATTTGAGTACTACAGTATATGCCTGAAGGGTACTATAATTATGCCTACCACTAGCTATCATAATATAAAACATATAGTAGTACCAGCCGTCAATATCGTTAATACTGATAACTCTCAAGGAAGGTAATATGAGGATCCTGAAATTGAATATTCATATTGTAAAAACGTGTTTGCTATCATTAACGTTACATTTCATTGTCCTAGTTATGGTTTATTGTACAGTATATATTTGCATATATACAACAAGGCTTAAAATAGAAAATTATGATCGAAAAACAGGGAGTCGTCTTTAAATACAGGGAAATAAAAATGGGGTGGGGGGATGGTTCTCTTATCTATATGCCAGGCATACACAGAAATACTAAAAATCTTCTCAAACTGTTGTATGCTTATATACAGTCATGATGTGCCTATATGGTCATGATGTGATGTCATCACGACCACATTTTGGCACGTCATATGCTTTTGAAAAATGAAATTTGATACCGTAGTCTGGATAATGCTTTATCTAAAATGTAAACAATTCAAATATCCTCAATAATTATATTACACTAATTGTTATTCAATTTTTAAAAAATCATATTAAAGTTAGACACTATCTCATTAAGACCCTAAAAAATGAACATCAAAGATTGAAAAATCAGCACTTTAGGCCAAATAAAAAATAATACTAGTTTCTCGTCCTTTGCCCATCCATTTCCTCTGCCTCACCCATTTTTTTTTTAAA